GCCTTTTAATACCCACACTTTCCTTTTGCTTTAACTGCCGTTTCTCTCGGAATGCCAGATCGATACCAATACTTCATGTTCCCGTATTCAATAAAAACGCCAGTTTTTCCGAGTCCTTAAAGTGTGAACGCAGCCTTGCTTTGCTGCCAGGGGAACTCCCATTAAAGGTTATGCAGGATATTGTGTAAAAAATACAGTCTCGTTCAGAGGTATAGGTAAAACCTTCATATCCCTGTGTTTAAGACTCGAGCCAAAGCTAACGAGAAATCGTCGCGGAGTCGTATGGAAGTTGGTGGCGTTGTGATTCAACCTGTTGATGAAGAAGATGCTGGTAATGAACTATCATGTCGACGTCTTGCAGCCGTTCGGTTGGTTTTCCCCGTCATCATGTTAATGTGTTGTGTACATCAGCGTCATTTGTTTGTTACGGTAGCGTTCAGACTCTGCGATAATGCGCGTCGATGCGCTATAACGCGCTGCTGTCAAAGCAGTGCTCCAGTTCTGATAACGCAGTCGGTTATTGATCGTTTCAGGGCACTTGTCAACTGGGAAGCCTCTCTTTCATTTTTTCCTTCCTCCTTTTCCTTCCTTCCTTCTCTGATCCCTCCTCCTTTACCTTCTCCCTCCAACTACTGGACTGGTAGATGCCTCGTGAAAATACCCCTGGACCCTCGCAGCGAGAGCACGTCTGGTTGACAACAGCCCCGTAACCGTTGGCGTTGGAGGAGTGTAGAAAAAAACGGGGGAGTGTGCAGCGACCGCAGCCCTCCTGTCATTCTATACTTTTCCAAAACACATACAGCGCCGATCGATGCCCCTCTGCGATTCGTGTCTATAGACTCGGAGCTCCGTTACTAGTAGCGCGTCGACGCCCATCACGAAGTGTGAAACCTGCTATATCTGCGTATCGGACTCTGTTCGTTATGAACGGCGATGCTGGAAGGCAATTAGTCTCGTTTTCATTTTGTGTGCTTAGTCTCGTTTTCATTTTGTGTGCATTTTCCTGTTCACTCGATGTGAATTTCCTAGTATCTCAATTACTCTTGTGTCTTGTGGGCTGTTTCGCTATCATTTTCCATCGGGCTTTGCTGAGAAGTGGTCGTGGGCCGTCCAGGGTGC